CGAAGCTGTGGCGCCAGCCCCGGTTGCAATGGATGCAGATGCAGAGATCGACCACATGTTCACCCAGTGGATGGACGACCAGCCAGAGAACCACGATTTTCAGGGCCTTCTTTCCAGAGCCTTGGGATCGACGACTACTCCGACGACCACCCCAGTACGGGCACCCAGGACATTGCCGCGGTCACCACGTGTTGGCCTTGGTGGTGTCGCGGGTCAAGCTTATGTGGCCGCTGGTCCAGATGCAGTCAACGACCCGTATACATTGGCATCCCCCAACCCACTGGGCATGCCAACAGCTGCAGTGCCAGCACCTTCTGCTCCTCCTCCGGGCTTCGAGAAGACATCCCCACACCACCCAGGACAGCGAGAACGTGGAAGATCAGATCACCGCAAGGGCATCAAGGAAACCACCAAGACAGCGCCAACTACAGCAGCAGTCCACAGCAGTTTGGAACAAAAGCTGCAGACAAGGCGAGCCATGACTCCCTTTGGTCTTGGGGCAGCTCCAGCTGGTTCGGACGAGGCTGCGGCGACGCCCATCCCGCCTTCCAACCTGCTCGACGACGACACCGACAGCGAACAGGATACAGCTCGAGATCTTACTGCCGAGGAACTTGTGGCCCTCCAGACTTCCAAGGGCCATCCAGGGCCCAATGTGGGGTAGCCACAACTGGCTGTGACTATGCAAGTGACGGCTGGAATCCCATGTCTTGTCAAGCCCGAGTAGCTTCACAGGAACCATGTCCTGCCTTTTCGCGGCATGACAGGCTTGAAGGTATGTCAACACTTGCTGCCCTTTTCGGGCTTCAGGTGTCGACTCTTCCTTTTGGTCAATGTCTTGTCGGGATGTGGCATGATAGGGAGTCCTGGGGAGGCTACGGTAAAGTGCTACAGCTTCTGTACAAACTCGGTAGTGCAGGTAGAACAGGATACTGTCAACAGCGCAGTTATCCATTTCACGGAAGAGCTTGCCTCTCTTGGGGAGATATTTTCCACCCGGCCTTCCTCGCAGGGCTTTGTCGACATGGGCGTCCCTGGGTTTGGGGCTGTCCTGTGCCGACGAGCCTAGTCTCCTCTGCCCTGACGCATGCTCACTGGTATCGTGATCCATGCGGCGGGGCCCCGCCAACAGTGCCAGGACCTGCCTGCGCACTTGCACTACATGCTTGTTCCGAGGTGCCTAAATGTCGGATCGGTGGCGCTGGGCCGACTACCTCCACACACAAGCCATGCCATTTCTCTTTCCTCGCAGGGCTTTTTCGGAATGGTTGCCCCGGGTTTTGGGGTTTTGCTATTCTGGATAGCCTGGTCTCCTCCGTCTCGCTACATGACCACTGGTTTTGTGTGTCATTTGGTGGGGCTTCGCCTTCAGCGACAGGCTTCGCCTGTACGCTTGCCTCCGGTGCTTGCCTCGAGGTGCCTAAAAGTCGGATCGGTGGCGCAGGGCCGACTACCTCCACATACAAGCCATGCAATTTTGTCGATCTGCACTGCAGGGCATTTCTCCCAGCCCAACCTTTTGCCGGGATCCTTCCTCCACCCTGTGTCGGGTCCTGCCAGTTTTGTGTTCAATGGAGGAGTCATGGTGTTGAGTGCAAAAGAAGTGAATCGGTTGCTCAGGGTCACTCACCAACGCCTACCTCCCCGGCTTTCAAGCGCGACTCCCTCCTCCTTCTGTGGTTAGCATCCTGCATCATGCCGGTAGCGAGGAGCTTCTGCTTTGTTATCTTCCTTGCCATTCTTCGTCTGTGGGCACGGCCCTGGAGGGATCCTAGCACTCCTCTTGGTTTTGTCATTGGCCTGCCACTTTCTGGATGCCGAGAATCGTGGACTTCTCCACTCGGGCATGTTGGTTCCACACGTCCCATCCTTTCGTGGGGCCAGCATCAGACACGGAAGCTTCGGAAGAGCCGTGGGCACCCAGCGGTACGCAAGCGAGGCACCCTTCTTGAGGTGCTCTCTCGCTTCCTTCTTCTTCTGTTTGCACTGCCGCAGCCTACCATTGCCATGCATTCGGACTTCCATCCAGTGCTTTTAACCCTTCCGCTTGGAGTTGGTGCCATGGCACGACCTCCTGAGACGGAAGAAGCGAGACATCCCAGTCGTGCACACGAGATCCCACCCGACGAACTCACAACATATGTCGGTACTGGGTTCGTTGACCTGCAGTGGCTTGAAGCAAATGATGATGCTAGTGATGATAGACTGTGCCTCAGGGAGCTGCCCTGGACTGATCCCGGTCCTCCTGCAGCTCCTCCTGCTGCATGGCTTGGAGTCTACATCCTTACTCCACACTATGGTACAGTAGCCTGTGCTGTCCAAGTCGGACCCGAAGCCGACTACCACAGTGTCGCGTCAATCATTGCACAGCACTCACCTGGTGCGCACAAGGGGCACTTTAACAACATCGTGCCTCTAATACCACAACGTCACCCTGGATATCTTTCCGTTGTACGGGTTCCTAATTATACTCGCTACTTCGGGGAACACGGCTACTCGACAGTCGTCTTTGACCTTACCAGGGTAGGCGGCCGATATTTTGCAGCCCTTTTACCCAAAAACATAGAGGTTGCCAGGGTACACGACTACGTGCTCCCGTTGACAAGTGAGCATGATGGTCCGTTACACCTCTTCTTCGGAGCCAAGGGACGCCCAACCCCTGTCCATGCCACGACCAGGCTTTTCGACGGCACTGTTGTCACTGCTGCATGGGAAGCCACATCCGGCCCCGAGCCCCATCGCGTTGAGACCCTGTTTGCTGACCGGATGTCCTGGGGTTCTTTGCAGCACTTTCCAGCAGTCGAAACACCAGAAGCCGTGTGTATCCTCTACAATGAGCAACGCTTTACATGTCAGGGGGGGCATCACTACGGCCAGACCACTATCGAGTTTGCGTCCCAACGTCTTGGTGTGCCGATCGGTGAGGCTGTGATGTGTAGCTTCCCCATCCTTAACCTTGATGTTCAGGGCGAAAGATGTCCTCACATTATTGCCGCCCATAGCCTCCGCCCGCACAATGCACGGTTTCAGGACCGACGGGAATGCCGGGATATTTTTGTGCTTTGTGATCTCCGCCCACTCGGACACAAACCTCAGTTTGTCTACACCAATTATCCAGCCTTGCACGTTCCTACGCTTGCTGCAAGGTTTGGTCTAGACTTCCCGACAGTCCTGAGACTTGGCGTCTTTGGCGGTGAACGCAGGGGTGACGATGTTCATTTCGAGCCGAACTCTACCCTTTTTTTCTTTGCCGAGGAACATCCCACGAGTGGGCCATCGACTAGCTCTTCCAGCAGTGAATCTGAGGTAGCCCAAACATGGCACAGGGGGGATTTGCCCTTTCCGATGCGTTTCCGGCCACCCCAGTTCCGGACTCCTTCCCCGATGTGCTTAGCGACAATATTCTCACTGCCTGGAACACTCGGCAACGCACCAATGCTGAGTGGGGGACCGACAATGGGTTTCCTGCCACGGATTCCTTCTACATGCCTGACATACCCTCTACTGATAGACCCTTGTTCCATTCTGATTCCACCCTCCCGGTAGGGCACAGCTGGAACCAAGGTGACGTCCCAGAGCAATTGCCAGATAGACCGGAACATGCAGTTTCTCCCACTGGTGTTGCCGGACAAGCAGCTACCGACCCACCGGCTGGTGATGCGACAGGACCGCGAAGTGCCAATGATCCTGACAATTCTGGCATTGTCACGCAACCCGAGGACTTGCCTCCGGTGCCTGCCCTCGCTCTCATTTACTCCCCAGAGTATATGCCAGAGCTAATCATCCTTGGGCTCCCGATCCCTTGTGGGGTACAACAAGCCATAGATGAGCTCCAGGCACACCGCAGTGAGACAGCAGCTATGCGCTTTCCGTGCCTTGTTCCTGCACACCCGCAACTCGGCCAACAGGCGGCAGTATTCCTTGCGGTGCCTGATTGGGATTACAGGGATGTAGTTGTCCTTGTTGACAACAGGCGTGTGACTGAAGGAGTCTTTGCAGTTGCCATCCCTGCCACAGTCAACCGCGAGTCGCTGCTCGTTGCTGCAGGGCATCCACACGACTCCACCCTCAGTGTTTTTGTCTGTGGATTGTTGAGCCCGCTGAACCGGCATCAAATCATCACCCTCTACGATGGACAGACCGTCACCTTTACCAGTGAGGCTTATGGTGCCGCTTTGGGTTTTGATTTAGGCGACATGCTGTTAGACCGGACTCACTGGACACTCGAGGTTACCATCCCTGGACCCAAGGCACACCCAGGTAGCCACTTTTATGTGTTAACCGATGGTCTTCCCATGTTGTTCCAGGTTCAAGATGGTCGCCGGGCCACCTTCAAAAAGGACCTTGCCAAAGCCCTACGGGGCAGGTTTGACACCTTGACAGTGCTTCCGACCAATCCTCAGACGCATGACAACTACATTCAGGGCGCGCCTACCTCAGGTGTCCTTGTTGCGACCGAAGCACTCTCCACTGTGCCATGCCCTCCGGCACGTCGCCCTGAAACCCGCCAGGTATGTGTCATCGATGCCAGACCAGTATTGCAGGGGTTCAGCTGGAGGCTAGCCGAAGGAAGTACTATTGCAGTACAAGCTGTTGAGGCTGCGTACCAAGCCAAGTGTCCGCCCGGCTATATTGTGTCAGTCAAAGGGGCCCCTGTGATCAATGGGTCACAAGGACCTGCCTTTGCAGTCACTCGTGGTGGCATTCTCCTCGTCGAATATGTAAAGGATTTGCTAGAAGGAGATGGGTCTGGTGGCCACCCAGATGAGCCAGGGGCTAACGACGGTCCAGGCCCAGGCACCGGCAGATGGCGACGTCGAAATGGGCCCAGTGCTCCATCATCAGGCCAAAATGAGGGGCGTAACCGCAGTCGATCGCCAAGATTTGGAGGCGGCCAGCCCCCCCCGACAGATAGCATCTCTCAGACTGCTGCTGACACTGCAGAAGACATTCCTAGATCCCCCGACACCGATCAACAGCCTAGTGACAGTCGAGTAGCCATGTGGTCTGCAAACATGCCTGCCATCATTTCGAGTGGGCAGTATGCTTCCACCCCTGTCCTCCTGTCACACACTGAGAGTTCTGCTGCTCCCCTCCTCCCTCTTGAAGAGGGCCAAGAAGCCGAGGCTGGCCAGCCGCATTACAGTGTCCCTGATGTTGCACCAGTCACTGAAGGAGAACTCGACACCGCACGCATCTCAGTCTGCGTGTTGGTGCCTGACTACGTCAATGAAGTCTTTGAAATTGACACGAATGTCTCCAGAGGAGAGGAACACCTCCAACAGGTCATAGCCGAAGCCAGAACTGGTGTCCAGATGCAGTACTTTCCGTTTGTTGCTGCCGTCCCCCGCCAGAGCATTCCAGATACGCTGATATATCTTGCATACCCTCTCTGGGGGAGAGGACTCTGCACCACCTGCTTTGACCTTATTCGGTTTGATGGACGACTGTTTGCACAGCGCCTTCCGCCCACAGTTGACCGATATGTTCTACTGCAGGCAGCAGGTCTTGCAGGCGGCGCTGAGGTCGATGTGTTTTGCCCTTCTCATGCAGGGCCCTTGCCCGAAGGAGCCGAGGTCGAGTTTCAGCCGGGGCAAACTGTTACCTTCCTCCCCAAGGGGAACCCTCATGATCCTGCTCTCGCGCTACTTGCTGATGACACAAATGCCTGTGGTGACATTTCCTTCGGTGTCGTCTCTGACCTGTCGGTCAGTCACTTCTGCCTTCGAGCAGAACGCTCTGTATTCTACCGCTCCGACTTAGCAAGTCGCCATGGACTCAGACTTCCACACCTTGTCGTGACTCCCGCCAGGCCTCGCTGCACGGATGTTGCCATTCAGGGAAGACCGTGTCGCACTGTCGTTGCAGTTGGAGAACAGGAGGACCCCCAAGACTCCATCGAAACCATCGGCTTCATAGATGGTCGCCCCATGATGCAGGGCTGGATCCGTATCCTCACCAGGTCTGACTGGCTCCCTTTGGCTCCGCTTAGAAATGGACTTATGCAGTCTGCTCCAGCAGGGTGGCAGGTTGCTTTCATTGGCTGCCCTAGACATTGGGACTGGGTTTGGTTTGCATCAGGACAAGTCATCGTTGCCTACCTTGAACCTGCACATCCTGATACCCCACGGTCTCAGCAATCCGGGGACTCCACAGCAGTTCCAGACTCAGACAATGACGGCTCCCCTGCCACTTTTGGTGGGGGAGGTGGCACAGCTCCGACTTGGGGCGAGTGGTCTGTGTCTTCCCAAGTTGGTGACGACACCCAACATGATACAGTCAATACCGACGGAGTAGGCCGGCATACCAACACTGCCCCAGAAACACCTGCCCAAATTCCCCAAGGCTGCATACTTGGTGGCCTGCTTGCCTTCCTGCTAGAGGCTCTGCTAGGAGTAGCTCCTTTCATTAGGCCCATCGCGTCCTATTGCCACTTTGTTGTCTCTGTTCCCTGGGTAACTTTTGGGTGTGTAACAGGGGTATTTGCCGGTTGGAACGCAGCACCAACTAGAGCAGGACCAAGGACCTTATTGCTCTTTGTAGTTGTGCTCAGCCAGTTGCCTTCACAGGCCTGTGCAGTTCAACTCCCTGCTTGGCCAGACCATTGTCGCGTTGAACATGTGCAGGCCCCGAGAACTATACCAACTCCATGCCGAACCCGACTTGACCTAAGGGATTGTAGTCACCACTCTTCCGATGAGGTTCTCCTTGGTCCTGATCGTGCAGCAGGGGACACTAGGACAGTTGTTGAGTGGCCGCTTGTCACTCTCCTTGAACAAAGTTGTGCCGATTCACAATGCCATCCCTTCTATCTAGCGGTGACATTGCTTGAGACTCTTCAAGAGCACCAAGCAAGTGCGTGTAGCCCTGGAGCTAGTGGCAGCGAGATGCACAGGAGTGATGGACCTGTCCCGGTGTTGCTTACCGACCACATCCCCAAGGCCGTCACCCACGACCTGACCGCTGTCACTATGCCCTCCCCTTGCGCCATAGATGATGTTGCGTCTCTCCTTGCATCTGCCTGGACCCCGCCGGGCACCTTACCACCGGACTTGAAGATACATCCTGCCACTGCTGCAGCACTAGCCAGTCACATTCCTGCTGACGACAGCTCTGCACCCAGTCTCCAGCAACTTGCCATCTATACCGACGGCTCCTTCGATGGAACCGGCAGCAGTTGGGCCTTTGTAGTCCTTGCACACACCAACCATGGGCCTTCGCTATTAGCATGGGCCAGAGGTGATGTGGCACAACCAGGCTCTCCCTACTATATAGGAGCAGATCAGCACAGTGCTGTCAATGGCGAACGAACTGCGGTATTCTGGGCTTTAGCTTGGTTGCTCGGTGTCCACCCCCAAATCCCGAGAACCGTCTTCAGTGACTGTCTTGTTGCAGCGAGACAAGCGAGCGGCGAGTATGGGGCCACCACTGATGCCTGTATTGCGAAGGCATGTCGCTCCATAGCCCAGGTGCATGATGTCCTCAGTGAACATCATGGTCTTGCAATTGAACACGTCAGAGGCCATGCAGGTGACCCCTACAACGAGCTTGCTGATACCCTTGCTGGGTCAAGAGACGTCTCAGTGACCCCCATCCCCTCCCATCTCCTCCGGCTATGTGACTGGGCGCGGAATGGGAGTATCGAGTGGCTATGGCTCTCTGTCGCTGCAATTTGTAGGCCCACTGCTTGGCCTGATTTGCGTGGACATGTCTTCCAAGATACAGTAGGCCCAGGCACTGACGGGGCTGGCAGCCTATCTCCTGAACAGGCTTTTGGCGGCCGTTTTTCCGACACTGCTGCTCCCAAACATACTGAAGAGCTGTTCAGGCTGTATGTGCGACTTGTGACGGTCAATGTGCAGACACTTGGAGAAGACTCAGTGTCTTCACAGCCCAACCGAGTGCCATTTGTTCGCGAGCAACTTGAGGCCATCCAGTGCAACATTGTTGGTCTGCAAGAAACCAGAGCTAAGCGTACGTCTACTGTCACCTCGCAGTCACTATCGCTTCATCTCCGCAGGGGACGACAAGGGAAATTTTGGTGTAGAACTTTGGGTCTCCAGAAGACTCCCAATTGGCTGGCTTGGAAGCCAACAGGTCTACTGCGAGCTTAGTGACTTCCGGGTTCTCCACTGGTCCCCTAGAATGCTCTTCGTTCGCTTTGCAAAAGGAGCTTTGCGTATACTCTTTGTAGTGTGCCACGCACCTACTTCTGGGCACCCCACACAGCATGATTGGTGGCGCGACTTCCTTGGCAGACTCGATGTCTGTGCCAAAGATGACAAACTCATTGTGCTTGGCGACCTAAATGCCAGAATGCTGCATCCTGTTGCTCAGAGGATAGGTGAGCTTGTATGGGAAGATTCCCATGAGCCACCCGAACCCTTTTTCAGGCTTATTGAGCTTTATGATCTTTGGCTACCTTCCACCTTTGGCGTCTGCCATGAAGGCTTGAGTCACACGTGGATTGCCCCCCAAGGGGGTGCGGTATCCCGCATTGATTATATTTTGATTCCAGCAGCCTGGCATGCCCAACAGGGTGCGTCGCGAGTGCTCTATGATGTTGACTTCGGGCAGTCCGGACTTGATCATTTTGCTGTGCAGCTTGATCTTGATATTTCATTTGGAGCCAAAAAGCTTTTGCCTGTGAGGTCGTCTCTTCGATTCGATCGTCGTCGTATGCAACAGCCTGAGTCACAAGAGCTCCTTCGTGAAATCTGCGAGTCAATTCCCGAAGTTCCATGGAGCACTGGGGCACATACGCATTATCAGCAAATTGCCGACCACCTTACCCATCGCCTTACTACCGCATTCCCAGCCCAAAAAGTAGCATGCAGGAGGACCTTTTTCTCTGACACAACGTGGTCGTTGCGCCAGCAACGCGTCTGGCTACGTCGACGGGCACACCAAGCGAGTGCCTTCCTGGCAAGTTCTGCACTGCAATGGGCATACATTGCGTGGCGTCGAGCGGTGCCATTGTCTGTTGTTGCAAGAAAGGGCTGTGCCTCGGTTCTACTTCACCTTGCACGGCTTCAGCATGCAGTCAAAGAACTTCAGACTATCAAGCCTGCCTTTCGCCGTACGCTCTGTCAAGACCGCAAAAAGTACCTCTCCGAGGTCGCAAACACCGCATGTGTCTCCTCCACACGTGACGTTGTTGCTAAGCTGCGTCCTCTCATAGGCCCACCCCGCAGAAAGCAGAAGGGACCCGCCCCTCTCCCTGCCATTCGTCTAGAGTCTGGTGACTTTGCTGAGTCACCACACGAGGCCACCGCGCGCTGGCTCCGGCACTTCAGTGAAGCCGAGCATGGCGGCCCGATCACTCCTGAGGTGTTGATTCGCCGATGCCAGACAAGGCAAGCTGCTGCTAATCTTGAGGACCTCGAAGTCCAGACCTCCGAGTTGCCCTCAAGAGCCGACCTTGAGACCGCCATGCGTGCCGCCAAAGCCGATAGAGCAGTTGGCAACGACATATTGCCTGCAGAGTTGTGGAAGGTCCAAGCACCCATCCTGTCGCGCGTCATGTACCCTTTGCTGTTGAAGATAGCGTTTCGACTTGAGGAACCACTGCAGCTTAAAGGTGGGTCCATGTTCCATATATGGAAAGCCAAGGGACCACAAGATGCATGTGCAAGCTACCGCGGAATCCTCGTTTCCAGCGCCTTTAGCAAATGTGTCCACGGCGCGTTCCGAACCAAATGCAACCAGTGGTTTAACGCACTGGCAACTCCCTTACAAATTGGAGGACGCAAAGGTTTTCCGGTCCAGCTCGCAGCGCATGCAGCACGATCCTTCCAACAGGCCGCATTGGCCAAGGGATACAGCGCTGCGATCGTTTTCTTAGACCTTCGTGAGGCCTTCCATAAGGTCGCGAGACCCCTTGTGCATGGTGGCGACCTTAGCGATGACCATATATCCAAAGTCCTTGCTGCATTCCACATTCCCCCGGCAGGGATGGAATCGCTCCGAGAATACGTCCGTCAGTCTGCCCTTATACGGGATGCCGGCGCTTCGGACTGGGCTGCAGCACTCATGCGTGAATTTCATACTGACACCTGGTTCAGTATAGACGACCAATTAGCAGCCGTCTCTGCTGGCACTCGCCCAGGCGATTCTCTGGCGGACGTCGTGTTTTCCTTTCTCTTTTCCTCTGTCCTCAGGAGGGTTCGCGACGCCATCCTCGCAGAGGACATTTCTGTCAGCCTTCCCTGGCATCCTTCCTGGGCCCGGGACCTTGAAGCCACTCACCCTCCTGCTGGAGAGCTTGCCCCTATCGATGTGTCTTGGATGGACGACCTTGCACTGTTGATCTGGGATACATGTCCACATAGACTGCTGGACAGTGTGAGGAAGGCTGCAGAAATCCTCTTGGACGAGTGTGTGAAGGCCCTGTTATATCCTAACCTGGATCCCGGGAAAACTGAGGCCATTGTTTCGCTTGTTGGCAAGGACTCCAGGAAGTTACGGGCACAGCTTTTTCGGTCTTCCGTTGCTAGTCTGGACTTGTCTCCCAGAGTGCACCCAGCTGCCGCTCTACGTCTTGTCCCACAGTACCGCCACCTTGGCGGAATCTTGCACTGGAAGGGTGCTCTCCGCTTTGAGATCAGATCCCGACTAGGGCAAGCATGGCAGGCTTTCAAGAAGCACCGGCGTGCGATTTTCGCATCTCCTGTGGTGTCGCACCGAGAAAAAGCTTTGCTGTTTCAGTCGCTTGTTATGTCAGCCATGCTTTTCGGGGCCGGAACATGGGTCTACAGGGATGCTCGGGAAGTTGAGGCCATCGTAGGAGCACAGCTGACAATGGCCAGACAAATGTTGCGTCCCTCCTATGATTGGGAATCGGCGCTTCACCTGGGCTCGGGACTTGTTCTCGCTACTGCTCGCCTATCCACCATTGCAGACGAACTGCACGCAGCACGTCTCCGACACCTTGCCATCCTTGTTGCGAGGGCTCCGGATGAATTTTGGGCCATCCTTCACTTTGACCGGCAGTGGTTACAGATGACAAGCGCCTCCCTTGAGTGGTTGCGGGAGTCCCTCCAACATGGAGGACAAGACACCGTTGACATAGCTGACTGGCCCGGTACCCTCCAACAGCTCTCCCAGCAACCACGACGTTGGAAACGCCGGATTTCTGTTGCGTTGCATGTTCGTCGTCTTGTCGACGTTTGGAAAGCAGAGGTCACGCATTTCCACGGCCTCCTCCTTCGGGCTCTGCTTTCTGCTGGTGCTTTTGCGGCTGATGGAGAGCGAACTGCCAGTTCAGTTAGTGAACTTTGTGGGCCATGCAACAAGGTCTTCACTGACTTGCGTTGTTGGAGCCACCATGCTTTCAAGTGCCACGGTCGCCTCCGTGAGGCCCGGCTGTATGCTTCCGGTACACAGTGTGGCACTTGCCTCCGCCATTTTGCCTCCAACTTCAAGCTGAGCAACCATCTAGAGTACAGTACAGAGTGTCTTGCCGCACTTGTTGCGCGTGGTGCTCGGTCCGAGATTCAACCAGGTCGCAACAGCAAGAAATTTCGGACTGGTGATGAGATCATGTGCCCAGTAATCACAGCTGAAGGTCCAGCTTGCCTTGTTCCGCCTGCAGCGTTCATTCCAGAGCCCCAGAGAGCAGACCCGCAAATCCTGCAAGACCTTGAAGACTTGTTTGCACATCCGTGCGAGGTCACCACTCTTACTGAACTCCTTCAGATTGTTCGAGGCATTTTCCAACGGGTCTGTCTGCAACGTTCCCGACTGCAGGCCACAGCTGCGGCTTGGCGCCGTGAACTTGCACATAATGAAGATGTGTCTGTCATGTGGTCGGCATGGCATGTCCAAATTGCTGATTTCCTCTGTCAGACAGACATTGTTGAGTGGCTCTCTCATGAGGCTCAAGGGAGTGTGTCGGGACACTCCACCTTCCGGGATTCTGCCGCAATGCTTTCCCGGCTCTCCTTCGATTTTGTATCCCTTCCACCCAGCACCAGCACGGTACATGATGCAGTTACATTTTGTGCTGCCAGCCCCAAAATTCAGGGCAATCCTGTGCCAGACTGGTGGCAACATACCGAGCACGCTCGGTTCATTGCAGATCCCAAGCTTTTCCGCGTCAAGGAGTGGTGTGCTGATTCGAAAGCCGTCATCCGTGGATTTTGTTTGGGAGGTCTCCTCTCTGACCTTTCTGCCCCAATGCCTCTCCGATCCTTTCGTCGCCTTGAACCTCAGCTGCATCGCCTCCGCCTCTTTGCAGACATCATTCGCGGCATTGTAGAGCTTTGGCTTTCAGGCCGGCCTGCGTTCATCCTCTGCCCTGCCATTGTCTGTCCTGGACTTGATGCGATCAGCCGGCTATCGCGATTTCAGTGTGAGAAGCATGGACTTCGGATTCTCTCCAACTTTCCCGACGTTGGTGAGCTCCTCCGATTTGTTTCACCCTAATTATTTTGCAAGTTGTCTAGGCTGCATCCAACTCGGATTCATTGCCTCGAAAGCGAAAAGCGAATGTATGTCGTGGGAAGGATGTGCTTTGTCGGGAAGCTTCGCCAGACTGGTATGCGGTACCGGAGCGTCCTTGCAGGCCTTACCCTTTTTGATGCGTGCATAAGCATTGCACCGCATACCCACCTTCTGACCCCTGTCTGCTTTGACTCTAGACTCTGAATCGTTTTGACTTACGAAGTAGTCATACCATCGTCTTACAGACCCGTATGCTTATACCAGACTAATGCCAAGACGTACACCCCTCTTATTGAGGATCAGGAATAACATTCAGCCTACATAACCTTGTCAACCCGGGGCTTGGACTCTGCCACTCCTGAGGCCACATAGCTAAAACACGGCTAGCCGCACGGATTAGGCTCCGGCCTTCTGTTCCGCTGGCGCGCCGCGTGCCGGGGTGCCTTGGGCACTGAAGGAGGGTCTCAGTTTGGCTCAAGTGCGGTCATCACAAGGCATAAGCTTAATAGAGTGCCCGGTTGGCCTTTAAGGGTTCCAAGGCTTCGAGGCTTAGTGCCTGGTTCGATTGTGCAGGGCGCCTCACGGTAAGGGCTCAGCAGCGAAAGCCAGGTTGCGTCAGGTTGAGTGTTCTGTTTCAGTGCGACTTGTGCCGGTCAATAAAGCAAAGTAGTTCAAGGCTTCTGAGGGCTGTTGTTCGGCAGTACAAGTAGCATAGGAAAGGCTGCCTGTGACGGTGATGGTGGTGATGATGCTGGTGCTGATGAAGTTCATCATCATCATGACCATGATGATGACGACGAGAACATGCAAACCTCCGGCTGCGGGCGCTCTAGGATCGGCTAGACTCAGCTAAACGCTGGGCCTTCGGCCTGAGGTTCGGCATCTACAGAATCTACAGGTTTCGGCGTATGTGAGTTTAGGACGTGGGGTGGTTCACCGTCACAAGACTTTTGTTTGGAGTATGGCCCCAAGGGTGGAGCATCAACCACAGACCCTGCAACCCCGAGCCCCCAAATCCAAAACCCTGAATCCTGCTAAGCTTTTTCGCGTGAAATGCAGAGGTTGCAAGCGGAAGCTTCGCTGGTGCCGCTCCGCGTTTACCCCCGCGGGGCCGTGTGGCACGAAAGGCCTTCGGGGGTTTAGGGTTGAATGGGCCTGAAAACGTAGACTTAGAAGGCTCGGCGTTCTGTGATTTCGATTCCAAGCAGAATTTGGGTCGCTGGTTTAAGGTCTCAATGGGGCTTCCAAGCACTCAATAATCTTCAGTTGGAATGATGATGCAGGGTGATGACGAGCAGGGAGCAGAGCAATCTTCGAAAGATGGGCGTAAGAATAAGAACATCCGCGCTTACACTGGCTGCTACGCCATCTTTACGATCATTCTCCGACATATGATAAGCTTGCTTCACCTTCGCCTCTGTTGAAGATTTTTGAAGAGCCACAAATCTACTACACAAATCTCTGACAAAAAACGTTTGGAGGATGGCTCCGATTCGACATTGCCTTGAGCTTTGAGCATCCACCAACTAAATAAGCATCCAAAGCAGAGAAGAAAGCGGGGCCAAAATGGATTCCAGAACCAACAACAGGCACAGAGTCAGTACCCCAGGATTCTTGAACCCAACACTACAGTCACTACGCCGCTCCTAAATTGCTGCGGCCTCACAAGCCCTGCAATGCAAGGCCAACAGAACTTCAAGCCCGAACCCTGTTGTGGCCGCGCAGGCAATGACGGTGGACCTCACCGGAAAGGTTGCCTTTATTGCAGGCAGGACAGGGTCCACGAGCTTCAATAACCCTGACTAACCCTCTACAGCTCGGCAAGCTCATATGGAAAGAGGTGCACTCCACGCCTTGCGTAGAACCGTTCGGCGTTGTAAGGTATAGAACCGCCGCTATTCCACCGGGGTTTAGGAGAAAGGGTCACAGGGACCTGAAGCCCAAAATCCCTGACTTGTTGGTGGAAGTCTGTATTCATTTGGGTACAAGCCGCTTGTGCATGTTCAGGTTGGTGTTTCTAGGAAACTTCTAAAGCCTTGACAGCCGAAAACCCTACGTACTTGGAGTTTGGGTGTAGGGATGCTCTCCCTGCAGGGTGTTACAACATGCCTCAGCAAACCGGAGCATGTGTGCCAGTACATCCTGCATTGGACCCCATCGCAAACCGTATAAAACTGTAGCTGAGGCCTGCAAGCTTCCCGTGCAAAATTATGCTGATGGTTGCCTGAATCCACACATGTAGACCTAGGACCTAGGATACCTTCATTAGTGAGACCCCAAGCACCATATCACTTTACCTCGATATGGTCCGAGTCCGCGTCTCAAACTCGCACTTGCAGAATCTCAGGCAATCTTTCCGGTTCGGGGAGGTTTCCGGTTTTTGTTTATAGGCTCGGGGCTTTCAAGTTCGCTTTCCGGGTGTATATAGCTGTAGATTGTAGATGTTTCCACTCCCTTTCATGCAGCTTTGGCCAAAATCCTGATTCCCATGCAAAGCCTTGTTGACAGACAGGCGTTGCGGACACCACGGGATACGGATGGGCAATTGCTCGGGACTCTCGGCCGACATTATTCCAAAAGCACAAGTTGCAACAGCAGCTGCAGTGCATCAGAAGAGAGAAATATTTATCAATAACTCAGCACATGAGTGGAGCGAGCTCTGGCTCTCATCTTTTAGGAGCTTTGGACACTGAGAGAGCAAACGATCAACGATGCCGTTGTGCTGTGAACTGGAGCAGTCCGGCGCATTGAAATCATCATTCCCTAGCATTGGACTCCGAGCACAAGCAGCAACGAGAGCAGAACATAGAAGGAGTGCAGATATAGATAAAGCGCAGCATCACCACCAACAGAGCCAACAAGCCTTTAAACACGTTGAAGCCGTGCGAACCCCAAATCCTTGAACACCCCGCAACCCTAAAGCCGTACAACACTACTTGGAGGATCGGCGTGGTTATATCTACTTGGCGCACTTGCTAAGTACTTGCAGCACTTGTGTCGGACTTATAGACAAACCACGTAACTCAGTTGTGGACTTAGTTTGGGACCCTAAACTAACTCAGTTAGGGCTGCAGGGCTAACCCAGTTAGCGCGGTTCCGATAAGTGGAAAGTCGGACTTAGGCTAAGTGGGCTAAGTGGGTTCGGGCCTCCATGGCTAAGTGGGCTAAGTGGGTTCGGGGGCCAGGAAAACTGAGGCTTAAATGCGCTGTCATGGCGACCTTTTGCACTGTTTAAATCAGGGTTCCAAAGGCCAAAAAAGTTTGCGTATGGATATATATATATATATATATACCGATATTATATATATAATGTAAAAAACATGTGTTTATGTTTGTTTTGTTTGTGTGCGGGTATGTGTATGTATATCTATATATATATGCCATCATATGTATATATATACACATGTCTATATCCACTATATATATATTGTCTATATTTGTGACTGTGTATAAAGTGTAAGTATATGTACATGCATATGTAGATGTTTATAGGTATATACGTGTATATGTATATGTTTCTGTACATGAATACATATATACATATATCTATATATGTATATAATATATGTGTATATGTGTGTATATATATATGTGTATATGTGTATATGTGTATATGTGAATATGTGCATGTGTATATATGTCTATATGTCTATATGTCTATATGTCTATATGTCTATATGTCTATATGTATATATGTATATATGTATATATGTATGTATGTGTATATGTATATTTGTATATATGTATATATGTATATATGTATATATGTATATATGTATATGTCTATATATATATACACTCCTGTGTATCATATATATATATATATATATAAATTTTCCCAAGAATCACAAACGCTATACACAATTCAACCTTACGTACATATCCCTGTATCAATCCTCAATATATACCCCTATATAATAAAAGGATATATATAAATATATACACACACTTAATTTAAACACCCTATACATCTGTACAGACCTGTATATACACCACTGTAAACCATAATATTTCGATCTATCTATATACAGGTGTGTATATATATATAACATTGACCTCTTATGGTATTCCCTATATACATAACCACCTATATACAAACCAAACCCCCAGAATCCATGGCACAGCGGTGGCCGCAAAGAGCATGACGTAGGCGGCAGCCTGCATCGGACAGGGGTCGCGGGGCAAAGAGTCAGAAGCAGGGGGTTGACGTCCTAGCTGATTCGGGCATGCAGTTCTATAGAACAAGAAATGTGTTTATATGTATATATATATATATACAGGCTTTAGAAGCGCACGCAGACAAGAGCACTCTACAACCACTTCCTGTATATAGAAAATACTTCATCAAATGGTGCAGTGTTCGCACGATGCTTGACAGTTTGGAGAGGGGTGGAATGACTTATGAGGCTTATATATACTAAATCAAATATATTGCATGCGAACTCAGTGGTATACATATTCGTTTGAGGCCCGTTTTTTAGACATATAATGTTCATGTGTTGACCCAAGTTTGTCGAACGATTGCGATCTTTTGTTGCGATGATCCGCGCGGTTTCGGGAAAATGGTTCGCAACATCCCTATGTATAGAGATGTTTGCAAGCTGGCTGTGCGAACATGTCCTGCACAGCATTCTGCGAGATATAGGCACCCTGCAGAATGGAGACATCTGGAGAACCATGCCCGCATCTTCACATGGGCATACTGAGCGGTATGACCAAAGCACGGTCACCCTCTGTCTTGAAAGCACAAAGTCTGCAGATGTCTTCAGTTGCTCGGAACACAGGCTCCTCACAGGTTTGAAAACGATTTCGCCCCAAATCGCGCCAGTCGGACATGCACGTGTAGCCGTGTCCGTTGAACTCCACATGGAACCACACCTGTGCCACTGATTCGCCGTTGGGCGCACGGACCACGACCACGTCCTCTCGCTTGCACAGCCTGCCATTCCCGACGTGGCACGACATGCTTACGAGCAGTCCAGGACAGCCTGGCAAAGAAAAGAAATCGCAGAAAGCACTTTGCACCAACCCGGCGGCAGCCTTGGGGTTGACCAACCCCGTTCTCCTTTCGGAGAAAACGAGGAGGTTCTTTAGGTGTTCCTCCAATTCCATTTCCAGAATGTGTTTTTCGGATCCTGCCTGCATGGAGTCGAGGTTATTCGCGTATCTCTTTATCTCCTTGTGCCTCCTCTCGTGCACGAAGCACGAGAGGAGCACGCCATGACGCCGCAGCAGGTCCCCCAGGTGCATGTTCAGGTGGTGCTTTGGAATGACCTTTTCCACCCCGTAGCATTGTTTGAACAGCTCCAGGTGGGCTGCGATTTTCTGCTCCAGAACAGCAGCTAGGTTTGAAGGATCCTGTGGTGCCGCCGTCTTATAGAGGAGGTCCAGGACTTCGCAAAGAATGAAAAAGCAGCGGCAGCATTCCCTGCACTCGTGGTCCCGGACGCTTGGCAGTTTCTCCTGCAAGAAGGCCCGCATCACCGGGTACAATGCCATAGCCTCCGACGACGCGGATTTGAACTCGCTCATCTTCTTAGCGAAGACTTTCTTGACGGAGGCGCCTTTGTCCCCAACCGCAGACGGCCAGCGGGAAGCACTCACGAAGCTGTGCCTGCGTGCTTGTTTGACTTATAATGCACATTGGACGCATGGAGAGTATATACACCTTATATATCTATATACATATATATATATAATGAAACTTATGAGAAACACATATTATATTAAACCTCCTTATAGCTGGTATATGTTGGAAAATGCACCAAAAAACCCTCAACAACCAAACCACTTACAAAAAGCAATTGTCCAGTGGCATCTCGTCTTGCTGTATGCCCTGGCTTTGCAAAACTTGCAGCAGCATTGTCATCTCCGCATGAAAGACTCCAGCCACAACAAAGTTGTGCATGTAGTCAAACATGGTCATGGAGATAGGTCTCAAAAACTCCCGCAGTTCAGGAGAAAAGAGCGCCCCGTGCTCGCAGAAGTTCAACCCCAGGGCGAATTGCCGCGTTTTAAATGTGCCCTTGTTCATCAAGGGCCGGCACTGGGCGAGGTGTTGTGCCGCTTCCTTTATACTGGCGTCCGTCTGCTGCAGCATTTGGCTCTTCTGGTGGCTGACATGGCTCACCAGACTGCCTGTTGCGTCCGTGGTGTGCAAGCCTGAGGAATGGGACACAACGTTTTGGCACATGAAGCAGAGCTTCGTGCCGCTGGCTCCTTTGTCTTCCCAAACACTCTTGAGTGCTGCCTCGTCCGCGATCAAGAGGCCTCCGAATATCATACACACGAAAACATTCCAAAACCACAAATGTGTATATGTATATATATATATACAAACAATATACATATATATATATATATATGTATATACACACTGCGGAAAAAGGGTGCGTGTGTGTGTATATCAATATATATATATATATATATATATATATACCCACACACATATACATGTGTACACATGTATAGGATATACACATATTCAAAAAAATTACCTCCATGTGTATATATATATGTATATATATATATATATATATATATGTATATATATATATATGTACTTGCTTCGTTTTTCATCGATTGTGCGTATATGCTGAATGTTTGGAGCTTGGGGTGTTAATATGTCAACACTGACCAAGCCGCCCAGGCGGCAGCAAAGCATCCAGTGTCGTTGATTTGGCATGGGCAGCCTTACGCCGTGCAGCAGCTGATCTCGCCGGTCCAAAAGGAAGATGCCAAAGATCCTGGTATATGCCATGATACTTTGTAAATACATGCATTTATATACATGTCCATGAGCATATACATGCACCTCCCCTATATATATATATATATATAGATAGATACATATGTAAACATGTATACATCTTGCACACATGTCCCTTAATACACCAACAAAAATCATATCTGCAATACGCGGACCTCTTCATGAGCTGCGTCATGCCGTCTGTGAGGCGCTTGACATCGGTGGAACGCACTGCAGTCAGCACGAACCACGAGTCTTCTTTGCTCAGCGCCAAGCCCCCGAACTGTTTCAGGGAAAAGTACAGCACTTGGAGCTTGCGTTCGTTTAACGGCTTCAGTTGATTACCCGGAGAGACTTCGTCCACATAAAGGCATATATCCCATGGTTGCCGTGGACTGCAGGGGCTTCTCGCTGCACAGTTCTGCAGGAACTCCTGGAAGCCACCCCCTTGATTGCAGGCATGCCAAAGCAACGCCAGCGGATCGACGTAGCTCACCTTGAGTGGCGGCCCGTCCTTCATGGTGAAACCAGTGAGTTCCTTCCACAGTGGCCCGTACGGAGTGGCGAGGTTCATCTTCACGTCTCGCTTCCGTTTCAAGGTGGCCCTGGACGTTGCGGGTTGGTCCTCCTCTTCCGGCAGCAGCTGTAATATCTCAGCAAGCGCTCGCTGCGACACAAAGGATTTGCGATGGGCCTCCAGGATTTTGGTGGCTGCCATCTCTACCGAGGCTGCGAGTGATCTCTGCAGCTTTGGGTTGGCGGTTATTGAAACAGCTTCAACCTGCCACCCTCAAAAAGTACAAGACGTGATGCTTCACGCAGACTCAGTCTGTATACAGTCTTAACTGTGTGTCAAGTCAATGAGTGCTATATAAAGCATGCATGCAATTGCCATGTCATCTGATATATATCCGAGGTATATATTATATATATAGTCGTACATATATAGAAGCTTTGCACGGTGTCTACAAGCAGACCTTGACGGTAGACTGTATATATATCCGAGTTTGCAGCAGGATCGCTTTGAAGCACATGCACTGCGACATGAGCCCGACTGAGCATGTTGCGGCTGCCATCGTAGCATGTCAAGTTCGCTCATCCGGTATGCATGCCTCCTGCAACGCAACAAATGAATGCAGCATTCGGCAAAGTGTCGCATGCAACTCCTGCAGACGTCTTTTTTTGCAGCAAAGTTCTGGCTGGGTTGCGAGATCGGCTCTACAATCGCATCCGCTCTGCAAAATCACGCAAGAATCATCGTATATGTATGTATATATATATATATATATGTATACACATTTAAACATATGTATATATATATATATATATAGGTATGTACAGCGTGCAATGCATAATACCGCTGTATATATATGTATGTATATATATATATATATATATATCTGTAGACAGAGAGACCCGAGCAATGCATGCACGGGTCAGTTTGCGTGAGAGCCAGCGACATGTAGATGAACAAGAGCCATGTACCAGGGCGAAAAGCCCATGCAGGCAGCTTCGATGTCAGAGCATCTATAGATACATAGAGACATGAGCAGGTGCCGATGATGCAAACAACATATGCAAACATTGCTGCCCCCCATCTATAGATATATCGATATACATGTAAACAGGCATTCTCTGCATACAACAGTTATATCACTAACATTAACAGTATAACAATGACAATTGCAATGGGAATCTAACCATAACATAGCCATGTATTATAGCACTAAAAAACATGTAACGATAACAATAACAAACATAACAGCAACAGTTTACCACCAAAAAACAACAATACAAATAATAGCAACCACACTATAGCAGTCACATGTAAGGGAATGGAAATCTGGCTACAAACACAACAAGTACGTATATGTATGTAATATATCAAGACACAACAACGACAACGGGAAAGCCGAAACAAAAACACTATATATATACATATATATATATATAGCAATGCAATCACCAACAGCAGTAACACGAAGCTGCACTCTCTGCTCATGCCTCCTTCCAGCCGTTCTTCTTGGCCTCGCCCCTCGTGCGGAAAACTCCACCGTTCGGAGAACGATAGTACGTGTCGGTTTGCCCGGCACTATTCCCGACTTTGCGCTCACGTACCTCTACAACCCAGCCCTTGTTCGGACCTGCCGTCACAGATGTCATCTTCGCCTGGGACTTCGCCTTCGCTTTGGCCGTGGACTTGGCCTGAGCTTTGGCCGTGGACTTGGCCTGAGCTTTGGCGGTGGACTTGGCCTTCGCCTGGGCTGTGGACTTGAGGGTTTAGGGTTATATAGGGTATATATATATATAGGGTTTATATAGGGCTTACAGGGGTTATAGGGCTGAGGGTTTATAAAGGGTTTCGCCTTGGCTTTGGGTTCAGCAGTCACTGCGGCCGCGGGCTTTTTGAGAATGCCGGCCACCTTGTTCTTGCTCGTCTGCTCGGCGCGGTTGTCCACCGCATTCTCGACTGCCTTGGCAGCTTCTTGTGCGCTCAGCGGCTGACGATCAGGAGCACGTTCCTCCTTGGGTGGTGATGATGTGTCCGGCATCTCAAACGTCAGGGCGCCAGGCTTCGTTGCTGATTCCTCTGGCTGCGTCGGAGACTGCAACGTTGGCCGCTGCGTCGCAAGTGACTGCTGCGGCGGGGGCGGCGAGTCCTGCTGCGAATCGGTCTGCTGATCCGGAGCCTGGCCAACACCGTGCTTGCCTTGCCCCTTTGGCGGTTGCAAAAGCCGGAACCCCGGCAAGTCCGCGCCAGCCGACCCGCTGGAACCGGCGGAGCCGCCACCCATATAGCTCATCATCATGGATGCAAACTGGTTTGCCATGCCCGCGAACATCTCTTGCTGGGTCTGCTGAGTCTGCTGCTGCCCGAAGCTTGTGCGCGGTTTCTTGTTCGGAAGGACCATCAGGGCGTCTTGTGGCCGGAGTTCGGCACTGCTTTTCCTCATGATGGTGGCCTGCACATTCGTCCCCTGGATGACAACCGGGGGATCGTCAGGCTGATACGCTGCCGAACGTACGGTCTCCGACAATTCCTGTTGGAACGCAGGGGCAATCCAAATTCACGGTCTCATACCAAAATATGAAAAACCTTCTATAATAATGAACAGTATATATATATATATATATATACATTTAGATACATATATACAGAAACCGTTTTCAGATACGCATATATATATATATACGCAATACGTACATGTCTGCAGCCTCAAAGAAGTTGTTCAGATATCTTTCCATACACCAACACAACCAGTCACAACCAAACGCAAGTATACAGAATTCTATGCAACTATATGTACCTGTCCTCTGGACTGGCAGGGAACGGGTTCGGCAATGCGATCGTCTTGGGAAACTTCTTGACCCGAGTCCTCACCATCTTCTTGAGCAGTTGCAGAAACCCGTACTTGTCCGCGGGAGTTTCCAGGGCGAGGCCTGCCGCCTGCACTGTCTTAATGACCTCACCGTATGCTTGCTCGCTGGCCAGCCAGAGCTGGATTTTGATCATCCGGCTCGCGACGGCATCTGCCTTGCAATGCTGAGATATCGCCGGGTCTGCCAGGATTGCCACCTCTTTTTGGCTTAAGAAGGGGGCGAAGGTGAGCAAGTCCTGGTTTGCTCGGCGGACATGTGCCCCTGGCGTGCCCCCTCGGTTGGCCAGATTGTTTGAAAGGCAGCCGGCCAGGACCGCTCTGTCCTCCGGCTCCCACGGGCCCTCGCGGACGATGGCGGTCACCTGGATTGCGTTCTCCGGCGTGAGGCCGCGGAAGACGCCGATCTCGTCCAACAGCTGATTGAGCTGCGTGCTCTTCAGGGCTTTGTACGTTTTTTCATCCACGTCCCCTTTCTGCGCCTCCACAAACCCGTTCACTGCCTTGATCTTACCTTCCAAGTCTGCGAAGGTCCCTGCCATGGTTCGAAAGGCTAAAAGGGTATATAGAAGCACAGCTTGAGATCGGAGCAGGCTGCACACACGTCCAAGCGAGTTCGTAGACCCTGCTTGCTGATCCTGCGGCCATGGCCTGCAGTATCGCACATGCATGCCCTGCGTGGAAGACATGTCAAGGCACACGCAAAGAGGCGCAGCATCTTCGCTTTTTCAAGAACTGGACTGGTTGCCTCTTCAGAGAAAACGAGGGAGGCCGTCGTGCTGCAACAGGTTTGAATGTCTATACCTGTTCGAAAATCGTCATTAGATTTGACAGATTTATATACTTATATAGACCCATACATACATAGATACATACATATGTACATGTACACACACACATGCATATAAACATACATATATATATATATGTAAGCATATGTACACAATATATGCTGCTTATGAGTCCACAGGGAGAAAAAACTCTCGGAGCCGGCATTCGCCTGCACTCCGCTTGTGCCCAATCCTGTATTTTGGGACATAGCCAGGGGGCCTCTCATCCATAAAAACCATACAGTCGAAAATTGTGAGGGGCCTCTGACTGTGCGCAGTGCTCAAGATCTGAACACCTACATCCGGAGGCAGCATCAATCCATCCGTCACGGCAAAGAGCAAGTCATACATAGAAACTCCGCCATGCATTGATGGAAGTTCCAGATCGAGAGCCACGTTGTCGGTGGTCGCGTACTTGAGCTGAAACCTGTCGCAGTGTCTTGCGGGCATTACATATATATATATATATATATATATATAGATATAGATATAGATATAGATATAGATATAGATATAGATATAGATATATATATATATATATATATATATATATATAGGTATATAGGTATACATAGGCATATATAGGTACATATATATATATATATATATAATATGACACACCAACTTGCAATGCCAAGCATGGCACCTTACCGTCGTTCGAGTCAAGGAGGCATAGGCCTTCAGCACGACGCTGCGTTCTGTTCGCGGTCGGAGCGCCAACTTCTGAAAGGGAAACGAAAACGACTGATAGACTCGCATATCCTGTCTATTCGCGCTGATGAGTTTCCAGAACACGCCCTGAAAGATGATGTTCCCACGGCTTTGCAAACCGGCCAACAGCAAGACCATGTCCGCCGGTAGCAAGACGTTCTCCACGGCTTCCCATTCCTGGGGAATCAGCGACACGCCGTCGCCTGATGGCTGTGGGTTCTGGACGTACTCCCACGTCCGTGCCATTATACACTCCGCGTACTCAGCGTCTATACCCTGACATTGCTTGAGCGAGGTTGCGCATATATACACCCCTGCTCAAACGTGCTTGGCGAAACTATTTCTTCTGCCAGCACACAATGCATCGCATCCATGAGCATCTTCCTCCCCAAGGACCCCCCCTCCTCGGTCTGTCTTTTCGGTATATATGTTTACAATGCGACATGTGCACATATATACCGCTATATAGCTGTCATCCCCCCACACAAGACTTACGTGCACTCCCTGCCCTCTTCCATGGCACCTCCCCTTTACTCCTTGTCTCTTGTTACCTCCTCCGTATATACCAAAGTATCGGAACCGGCCCGCCACATCCATGCTCAGGCATGCTCTATATAATGTACCTGCAGGCAGCTTTCAGGACACATGGCTTCAGTGTACAAGAAGCAACACGTGCAATGCAGTCACATCCATGGCAAGCTTGTAAAACATGGATCGCATCTGATTTTTTGGGTGAAGCTATCCTGCAAGTCGCAGAGATTCTGCACCACCTCTAAACTGCATATGTACAGAATTGCTTCAAAAGACTTTGGTCACGGAGCAGAAACTCATATACAAAGAAAACATTCAGAAAGGGTTGAGAGGATGTTGATTGCTATGTAAAAACACGAAGCGTTGTCAGGAACGATATATATATATATATATATACATACTATACATACACACATGTTTATGGCAGTAGCATCTACGGATATATATATATATATATATATATATTTGCGATTTATTATCTGTTGCCGATCTAGTCCGTGACCGGTAGGAAAAACTCCCTGAGGCGGCACTCTCCTGGCTCCGTCTTCTCAAGGATGCGATAACGTGGCTTGTAATTTGGCTGTGATGACCCTCGAACATACAGCATACAGTCAAACACAGACAAAACCCTCTCATCGTGCGCTGTGCTCATGATCTGCAAGGCCGCATCTTCAGGAGGCTTGATGCTGTCACGGAGGTACCACTGCAACTCGTAAAAGGAGATGCCGTCCACCCCATGGATCCGTATGTCTGCAGCCACATTGTTTGTCGCCTTGTATCTCGCCTGAAACCTGCATGGGTTTTTCAGGGCGTGGAAGCGAGACTACATGTTATATGTAAATATATATATATATATACGTATACATATAAATATCTTCTATATAGTCTTATTTCAGCATGTTCTATATACACGTATATGTATGTGTGTATATGTATATATATATATATATATATATATATATATATACACAGTGTGCCATGTGTTTATGTATGTATGTGAAACTGTATATATATAGTCAAGCAACGAAGAGGAATTACGAAACTACGTGCTTCCTATCAATCAGAATTGCAGAGGCATCTCTCTATATGTCTATGCGTCTGCACAGGGCTGCCATGCTGAAAGCCCAACCTTACCCATGTTGTTCCTCGGATGATGGAGGCGTACACTTCCAGGATGATGTTGTAGCGACGCCTGGGCCGGACGATGATGTTGTTGGCCGGGTTCGTGAGGGACTGGTAGAGCCGCATCTCAAAGGTGTCTGCAGTGAGACAATGCCACGCTTGCCCTTCATACCAAAACCCATCATCTTCCCGCCCGTTGTCCAGGCCAAGGATCATTTCGTAGTTCGTGACCGGTTGCCACGCTTGCTCCACCAGGGAGACGCCGTCTCCGGTCGGCCGGACACCACGGCAAAACTCCCATTGCACTGCAGCCATGGCTTTGGAACGCAAGAGTCCTGCTTTTAGGCCGCGGAATGCTGCGAGGATCGCAACATACATGTGCTGAGCGAGGTTGAGACCCCTGCTCAGTGTGCTTGGCGAGGCTTCTCTGCCAGCACAGTCGCATGCACGTAATGAGATTTTTTGTGGTCCTTGCAAGCAGCTGACAATCGAGGCTCTTTGAAATCAAAACTGCAGATGCGACGAGGGTCTGCAAATCAGGTTGTGTCCATGACTGCACCTCTCTCGCTAAAAGTTCACGGGTTCAAACAGCTTCTGAAGTGCGACCGTGTTGGCAGCCGTTTTCCTGAGGACACGCTTCCGCGGCTTTAGTGCGGCGTGTGCCCTTGGTCCCCACACAAACGTCAAAACTTGGCTCAAAAGCCCCCCCGTCACGGAACTGACCAGGATCACTTGCTGCTGGCGTGTGATGAGGTCTGCCTCCGCAGCTCTCTCCTTAAAGGATGCCTCCAAGTCACGGATGCTGATGTTCTTTTGATCGCAAAAGTCCACGGTCGTCATCAGGCGAGCAGAGGAGCACGACACAGCCGAGAACCTACACTGTGCGGGTTCAAGTTCATGTTTGTAACCAGGACCCTTCCCATATATTCAAGCAATATACAAAGGTAAATAGCATACAATTCCATGCAGCCTCACCAGACCCTCCTCAGGGTTGTGGTCGGCGTGGACGCACCACATGAAGTTGTCCTTGACTTGGCGCAAGAGAAGCTTCTCCATTCCCGAGTTCTGCCACAGGGTCAGGTCCGAAGCCTCGTCCTCCACGACCTTGCGGAATCGGCTGTACTTGCCCTTCGCGCGGATGACGATGAAGGCGTTGTTTTCCATAAGTCGCTGCGAGTTCGTTTTCGAAACAGGCAGCCACTCCTGCGACTTCGGCAGGTCATCGCCCCACGTCCACTGTCCGGACAGCACGGCCATCTCCCACAACTTCCCGGCCATGGTCGCTGCTTCTAGGCTACAGATCTTTTGTGCTGTTGCGAGAACCTCTGCAATCAGCCCGGCAGCGGAAAGATGTCCTGCTGCCAGAATATCAGGAATGGAACGGAGTGTTGCTTCACCTGCATCTGCTATACCTTTCGACATTATAGTACAGTATACTATACTACTACTACTACTACTACTACTACTACTACTACTACTACTACTACTACTACTACTACTATACTACTAGTACTACTACTAATAATAATAATATAACTATACCGCCAGGATGACGACCATATACTACTATACTTGTACACCATATATATGTTGCATTTCCAAATACGTTCATGCATGATGCAGCAGGCTTGGGGTCGCTGCATGGGTTGGCAGAGAGGAATCGCCGACCGACCGCAACGGTAACAAGAACAAGTAAATGCTATACTACGACGTATACAGCTACTACCAGGTATAGTACTACTGTACTACTATACTACTATACTATTAGTACTACTACTACTACTACTACTACTACTACTACTACTACTACTACTACTACTACTACTACTACTACTACTACTACTACTACTACTACTACTACTACTACTACTACTACTACTACTACTACTACTACTACTACTACTACTACTACTACTACTACTATACTACTACTACTACTACTACTACTACTAACTACTACTACTACTACTACTACTACTAACTACTACTACTACTACTACTACTACTACTACACTATAACCTACTACTTACTACTACTACTACTACTACTACTAACTACTACTCACTACTACTACTACTACTACTACTACTACTACTACTACTACTACTACTACTACTACTACTACTACTACTACTACTACTACTACTACTACTACTACTACTACTACTACTACTACTACTAACTACTACTACTACGACTACTACTATACTACTACTACGTATTACTACTAGTACTACTACTACTACCTACTACTACTACTACTACTACTACTACTACTACTACTTACTACTACTACTACTACTACTACTACTACTACTACTACTACTACTACTACTACTACTACTACTACTACTACTACTACTACTACTACTACTACTACTATTATACTATATACTACTACTACTACTACTACTACTACTACTACTACTACTACTACTACTACTACTAGTAGTACTACTACTACTACCACTATTATACTATATACTACTACTACTACTACTACTACTACTACTACTACTACTACTACTACTACTACTACTATACTAGTACGACTACTACTACTACTACTACTATACTAGTACGACTACTACTACTACTACTACTACTACTACTACTACTACTACTACTACTACTACTACTACTATACTACAAAGCTGCCCAACACGCTGCGACAGTGTTTTTGACGATGGGAAAAATGCGTCTGGAGAAACGTCTGCGGCTCCCTTAGGGACGCCGCACAACCTTCAAGCAGTGTCGCGCCAGCGACACGCGGCGTCGCCCATGCACTGGAATTCCGGGCCACAGCCTCTGGTGTCGCCTGTTTCGAGCCGGTCGCCACACGAAACGGTGTGGCGACCGGCTCAGACACTTAAAGGTGCGGCTTCCCAGCACTTGGATGCCGGCCTCCGGCGGGATGCTTCTGGGGGCGCACCGGTAAAGGAGCTCACAGATCTCGCCCACTGTGATCGCGGAGGCGTGCGTAACCATGAGGTCCAGGCACCGCTCGTTGGTCAGTGCATACCGAAATTGCAACCTGCAGGCCATACAGTCATTGTGCTATTTATGGTTCAGGGTTTATACTTATAATGGGTTTATGGGTTTAGTATAAGGGATGGTTGAGGGGGGGGGGGGGCAGGACTATATATAGAAACTAACATCTACAAACATAACCAAAACAAAATGAAAGTCTCAGGCACCGCAGCCGATCGCGTGACATGTAGCGGTGAAACATTGTCACGACCACAATGCCGCCGTCCAGAATTGGAGGGGTGTTTTCGAAGAGTTCCTCCGGAGTGACGGGTGCTCCTGCAGGACGTTGTACGGGTCGGAGTGCTGCGAGCATTGCCTCTCGCATCGTAGTACGTCGAAGTCCCGGTGGCGTCGCTGGCTGCATGGCTAGCCCCCCTAAGCAACGACTGTTCGATCCGCAATACTCCGCGGCAAAGCCTGCAGAGACTACCCCGCGAGCTTCGAAGCTCTGCGAGGGTCATGTGTGTGGATGTGCAACAGCCATGGAGTTGATCTTCAATGCTGTGCCCTGGGGCTGCACCAAATGACCCCCAATGTGCATGCACATTGGGCGCTTGCTGTCAATGTGCTTGCAGATTGGTTTCACGTTTCTCGTTGCCGCCAATGTGCATGCACATTGGTTGCTATGCAACCAATGTGCATGCACATTGGTTTTATAATTTCAATGTGCTTGCATATTGGGATGCTGTTTTTTTTAACCCCCAATGTGCATGCACATTGGGGGCTTGTTTCTAATGTGCTTGCACATTGGGTGTTGTATTTCATCACATGGTGATTCTCTACAATTCTGTGCTGTGGCCGATGATTTTCCTAAGGGGATGCTGCCGGATCGGTGTTTGCATTTGTTGTTTGATCGGTTCCTTTGTGGTTTTGTTGTGCTGTCCTGCTAACTCGACTCACAACGCGCGAAGCTACACCGAACAGAATCAAAGCACAGAACCCTAAACCAGGAAACCCGAAAAGCCAAAAACAATCGTTCCAAAACCCCAATAACCACTATAACCCTGTGACCCCCCAACCCACCTCCGGCAACGAATCCAAAAAAAAACGCAAGCCCTGGAACCTTTACCTGGAACCCACCAACCCACAAAAATGCAAAACAATCAATGCTGAACCCTCACTCGCCACACGAACTTAGAATGCACGTTTACCACCGCCCCCCTCCCCCAAGCAGAGAAGAGGAATCCCTCCAAAACCCAAAACCCCAGCGTGCTTTAATTGTTCCCATAATCAATATGTATCTATATCTATATCTATATCTATATCTATATCTATATCTATATCTATATCTATCTATAGCTATATCTATATCTATATATATATATATATATATATATATATATATTAGACAAACGTCATCGAGTTCATCCATGCGTGTACACAATCTATACCTTATATGAATATATATATATATATATATATATATATGTATAGATATATATACATACATACATATATGCATATGCCCAAACTACCTATGTGTATATAGTGCGTATTGTACATGTATATACACACATACATGCAACCCTGTGCACGTGACAACATGTTTTGCTCAGCCCTGACGGCGAGGATCGTCGTGCACATCGGGCTCGCTGGCGTCGAAGCAGCACTATGCATTTTAAAGTATGAGCACATTATGTAGTATGAGCACATAATGTGACTATATATGTATCCCTAAATAAACCCCTGTGACTGTGGATAGAGTTATACGACCGAGGCCAGCTATGTAAACGTAAAGGAGCATGCAGCAGAACGTTGCGAGGGCTGACTACATTTGTGAGAACCACGAAGGACATACATAATAAACTCTATATGAAATATAGCAACCCTGGATGATCCCTGGCCCCGGTCCCGGCTGCTTCGCCTCGCCCTGTGCCGAGCCGATTTGGTGAAACATGCACACATGTCAAGCTGCTGCCTCCGCCGCGTTGTGTGTATACTTACACATGAACGTGTATATACATGTATATATACCTGTGCAAAGATGAAGAGGTGCATTTGCGTGTGTACATGTACATGTGGGATTGTGTGTGCCCGGAGCAGCAGCCGAAAGCCTGGACTTTAAGGGGAGACATGTTGGCGATGAGATCAGTGATCAAAAACTGCTTAGCTGCCAGACCTTATGCCAAACCTTCTCGGCTATGGGTTGAATCCTATATTAAAGCTGCAAAACCCTTACTGTAAACCCTATATATATATATATATATACTGTAAACCCTGAACCCCTGAATGCTGAACCCGGTATACACCCAGCCCTCGTTCCGGCTGAAACTCACCGCCTCAGCTAGCCAGGCACGTGCACGCAGCTGCCCTCGATCGAAGCACGCACACCATGCTTCATGTGTCCACATCACGTATGTTACATAGTGTGCAAATGTGTGCACGATGCATGCTTCTGTGGCGCCGCCGGCCTTCACTACAAGGAGAGACATGTTGGCGATGGGATCAAAACATGCCAAACCTGATTGACTCCGCAAAGATGCAAAGCATATACTTGGAATCAACCCCGAACCCTTTAACCGAAAACCCCGCTACCCCTGATATGGTTGAAACCCATCGCCTCAGCTAGGAAGGCACGAAGCTCGTTTGCAGAAGCAGAAAATATATGCACGCTTATGTAGCCATATGTTTGTCCCGCTTCACAAGCTTCCCTCATTCGCATGCCGGCACTTTCCGCTGCGGGAGACATGTTGGCGATCCGAAGCGTGCCACCGAGGTAGCAGTCTATGTAGTTGTATCGTGTAGATAATGATTCATAATGGTCGTAGAGTAGTATAGTAGGGTAGTATATAGTGTAGTTGTATGTTGTATTGTATATAGTATAGTAGTATATATATATAGTATAGCATATAGTATAGAGTAGTAGAGTATACAGTTGAGTATGATAGAAATCTAGTATAGTATATAGTACTATATAGCATATAGTCTGTATGTTCTATACCCTGCAGGCTATACTATACCCATATGAATGTTTGCCCGCTTCGGATTGCCTCGGGTGCACGGAAACCACAAATTTGCGAAGCTTTCCAGGCCAAGGAATGGCACAAATGGCGGAAGTGATTCACCCATCACCCCTATGTCGGATTTTCTACACTGAATTTGGAACCTCGATTTAGGCTGCATATGTCTTACATACAACACACAACATCCTATGAACTACCCCACATGGGTCTTGTGGATCACTTCCGCCATTTGCGCCATTCCCTTGACTGCACTCTCCAGCACTCCCCGTCGTTCCCGGGACTCCTTCTTGTGTTGCTCTCTGCGGCCGCCACGTGTCCGCGGTTTCTCCCGGCCGTTGCCGGGCCTCGGTGGGTTTACATGGGTGTTGTACACGTTATGAAGTAACATTGAACAGTTTTACACCTATCAACACATATATGCTATTTCTAGAACTCACCTCGAGTAGATGTGTAGGCAAATATACACATTCGGCACACGAGTACATAATATATAGTATATCCAGAAGCTATATAGTATGCAGGTATATAGACGTACATATATATGTATGCATATACATATAGTCTATACATATACAGTGTATAAAATAGAATAAGCAATTTATACTGAAACCAGACGCCTGGCCCATGTCCTGAATCTGAATTAACTCTGAAGATTGCAAGCGGTCAGCCCAAGACGTTTATTGTGTTTATATACGTGATGTATATAATGCGATGTTCAGATACATACCTATGTATGTACATATATTCCCGTACATCTAGCTAATTATGGACTTAACTAGAATTACAAAGCTTCCAAAAACATACATGTATAGAAACACACCTCCTTATAGGGAAAACAAGGGTAACCTGAGTAACACTCCAAAGAGGCAAACACATCCCCTATATTGCAGTGTACTTTATATACATATATATATATATACATACATATATATATATATATATAAATAACCATATATATAATATATATATATATATATATATATATATATATTTCATATATATGTTTTTACATAAGCATCACCCGTAGGAAACTGCCGCAAAGCAACGGGTGGTAAATGCCGTTGGCATCCACGAAGCCACCGCCATTGGGAAGATAATAGCCTCCTGGCTTCGACGCGGATCCACGCGTGGATGAGGAGGAGCAGCTTCGAAACCCACTGCCAGCCCTGAGCTGTCGTGTTTGATTGTTTTGTTTTAGTATCGTGATGACACGTAAATATATGTATATATATATATATATATACACATACATACGCACACATATATATATATATTTATATTTATATATGTGTATACATCTATGCATTTTTATGCAAAGTTATATAGTGCTGGTTCTCTATGTAAACCAAGCTATTTGCGGCAGAATGTTTCTTTCTAGCTACGTGTTATATAACTGTTACATATTATATAGTTGCCTATACCAGCTTCACCCCTTGATAGGTTACATGGCACTAGCAAAAGTGTGAAGTGAAGATCGTAAAGTACGATGAATATTCCAACTGTAAAGACGTGTATATAGCGCTCACTATATAGACCATATAAGCTATATAGGTTATATAGGACAGATAGTTGTTGTTTCTAGAGTTTGTATGCAAGAAAGTACAATAAACACACACGCACAAGGTTAGATTGCCTTGTATATACAAAAAGTGAACCATACATACAGTTATAAGTGCCAGAAAAGGGCAAGTGATACAGGTTATAATAATTACCTATACCACTTTCGAGGTTCCCTAGTATACTTATCCTATAATGAGACCTGGTTCGAAAATAAGCCACAAAGATTAGGACTTAGGACATACGGAGTTTTTCGAACAGTCGCCTCGTGCTGGAGTCGGCATCCCACTCCTCCTTGCCACCCCATGTCTCCACCTTCACCTTGCCACCCCACGGCTCCACCTTGCCACCCCATGGCTTGCCACTCCATGGCTCCGTCTTCGCTTTCTTCCACGGCTGCTCATGATGCTTATAAGCATATGCACGGCCGCCGCTCCATGCCTTGTCCCACCACTGGCTGCCCTCCCAGTCCTGCCGTATACACGATTTCTATAGGAACTGCTCTTTACAGGGCTGCGGTTTAGGGATTTGGGTTCAAGGTTTAGGGTTTAGGGCTTTTTTTTTCGGGTTAAGGGATTTGGGTTTAGGGTTTATATAGGGTTTATAGTAAGGCCCTCGGCAACCTCGGTTTTGACCTGGTCGAAGTCGTCATCCTCCTCTTCCTCCTTTTTCCAATCCTCCTCCTTCAACTCGCTCTTGCCGCCCCACCATCCATCGTCGCCCTGCGGAGGGCAAGCATGCTTCTCTCAAAAGCTTGATATAGATACTTATATGGTTTAGGGTTTTGGGTTTAGGGTTTAGGCTG